ATCTCACGGTATTTCGCGAGTTTCGCGATCGTGCCGCCAGATGTCGCATGGTCACGACCGTATCGAGCAGTCCTGGCGCATAGCACGCTATATTCCATCGTGAAGACAAGATTTCGCGCGCCAAGAAATAAAAAACCAAATATAAATCTTTTCGTGACATAAGAGGGCTACAAACCGCGCATTTGAACTCTCCATCAAAACATGGGACAAAGCTACAATAGGAGGCGCTAGTGTCGCTGGGGGGGGGGTAGCTGTAGGTTAGGTTCGCCAACTTCCGCACATAAAAATTGGCTAATTTGTGAGAAATAGCAAAAGTGTCTCCTAAATTTTTAATTATTCTTCTTGTACACTTATAAGAAACCGCTGAAGAAAGCATGAAAATCGGTACTATCTTTTGTAACTGTGAGCCTGCTTGCGTCCCGGAAACCCACGCAGCTGCCACGCACGCTGTATCGTTCGCAGCAGTTCGTGTTTAGTTCCTGTAAGAAGGTACTGAACCAGAGCGCGCCACCGTAATAGTTTCCACCGTGTTATATGGGAGTTTAAAGGCCTTGGCCATAAAGCGACTGCTCGCAAGCGCTCGTCTTTGGGTCGCGAGTTAGCGTTCAGTAGACGAGTGTCGGAGTATGTTTATTTTTTTGTAAACTTACAAAGTAGTCGTCACCTCATTGGCAGAAGGTGACCATTCTAAATGTATGCACTTTATATGAAGCTTCACAGGGTACGGGACGATGTAAGTGGAGAGTAGAGGAAATTGTTAGAATATTTATTTATTATACTTTAAAGTAGTAGCGAATTCGCCCTCTTTTGCATTTTGTTTATACGTTGACGGGCGGTATTCTCCTGGTACCTTTTTATTTCATTATTCTACGTAAATTTTATTCAATATTTTTGTAGGTACTTAACGCGACTGTAGCCCTGTTGATGTACCGAGGTTGCCCGTCATGATAAATTTATTTGTTAGTCAGATAGACCGTCTTTACAGAGGCTCGGTTATGAAAATTTACGTATGATATTTCTATTTCCTTCTCGCGTGCGATTGGAAATTTTCTTTACTACTACCAAAGAATAACAATACTTACTTCAAATTAAACAAACTTGTAATCTGTATTCTGCTGTGAACACAAACATCACATTTTATAATTACAACTCAAATAATGTTGCAATAAAACCCTTATTATTATTATTTACTATTTTCCCCCTGAATTTCTCCCCTTGCAAGCATGGTTATTACCCTTCTTACTTTCCTTTACCTTATTTTACAAATATGTAATTTGGTATAAAACTTGATCTTCTGACATTTATAGAATTTAACATGTCCCCTTTTTAGTAACTTTCCTTCAGTGTTCCACAGCCGTCTCGTTTCGCGTGCACTCGAAGTTCCATTTTAGTTGAAATCCGGTTCAGGCCAAGGCATCGTCTTCTCTCGCACACGCAATTATAGTTTTCTTTCTATTTACAACTGTTTCCTACTAACTACTAGTGCACCTAACACTACCAAATCGTAAAAGCGTCTCTGACATCCGAACGAATATAATAACTTCAAATTAACTTTATTTATTGAAATGACTATTAAACCAATAATGATAAATAATATGTTTTATGATAAATTTATTTTGATAGTCTGGGCCTCCCATACATTCATAAAACTATTGTTAATTTCAGTATTTTACGTAACAATCTGTGTAAATAGTTGTATTCTGTTAGCTGCAAGTGAAATATTTGTAGTTATTAATAGTTCTGTTTCTTCTTGAAAACTAATCTGTAATATCAGAGAGAAAATTCTTAAAAGAAAAGCAATAAATTGGAATAAAATCAGTTATAAAGAAGTTCTCCACGTTTCTTACCTGATCAATCTTACCAAACAGTTCCATTATTTCGTAACAGTTTGCGATAAATGAAATTAATTGTTATTTCGAGAAGAGAATTTTAAAACGTGTGCGAAATAAGACGTTTAATGGACGATATCTAAGGATGTCCTATCAAGGCAAACGTCTTTAAATTAAGGAGATATAATTAAATTCTCGCCGGGTAAGAAGTGACCGTTTAATACTAATACAATGTTAATTAATGCTTCGATCGGAAACACATCATTATTCAAAATAGCCCAATCGTCTAATAAAGGTTGGCGGTTCAATATTGTTTGCTGAGAAAGACCGCTTAATTGAGGTTCCTATATAAAAGTCAAGTTATAAAATGATTTGTTCAAAAATATTTCATAAATGAAGGTGAGACAAATTATACCAAATCGCTTAAAAGCTGTTGCAGTCAATGTTAAATCGAGAATTTTGTAAACACATGTGAGCGGAATGCAAACATTGCTGCTTAATGGAGGATGCAGAAAAACATTTTAATTGATCATTGAGAAAATTCGTTAAATGGAGAAGAAATAATTTATAAATGCCACGAAGAGAATGAACGTCTAAATGAGGTTTCTACTTTAATGTTGTCTGGTCAATTAAATTAATGCTTTAATAGAAAACAATTAATATAAGTTAGCCGAAATATATATGACAGTCTAATTGATAATGGAGCTTCCTTTTTTTTAGGTGAATGAAAGTAATTGTCACATCGATGATTTTAAAAACGTCAGCTGAATAAGACTTTGGAGCTTTGTTGAAGTTGTTATAGATCAATGATAAAAATCGTAAAATAAAGGAAGGACCGAGAGAGGTGGCTCAGGGCACCTGATGTCACTGTAGTGCTTCTGACCGAGAAGTCCTACGTAGGTCCCAGTCCCAACGGTGACAGGATTTTCGACCGTAGCTTGTCAGCTAGGGTGAATTCAGTCGCGGTCTGGAGAATTCAAGCGGACGGCTGCCTTGTGTTTTCCCTTGTCATTATTCCAATTCTTGAGCTCGTTGGTGTGTTTGTTGCCCCAAGAGCGATAACATGTTGACTGTATAGTTCCGTGAAACGGTTACAAAGTAGCAAACCACTTTGTTTGGAATTTTTAGAACTAAAAACCTTTAATGACTGGGCCATACACTTTCCACTTGCTTCCAATGTTACTTGACAATATAAGTTCATTTGTAGTATGATGTATTGAGTTCTGATGCAACAAAATTAATATTATTAGAAATGGTAGATTTAGGCCGCCTAAAATTTTCTGCAGCATGAATATAAGTATTAAGTACCCATATCTAGAAATTCATGTAACTTATATAAAGGTTTATTATAATTTCAATGGATCAAAGGAACAATTATGGATATGTGGAATTATAATAAGTAAACATGAAACTTTACAACTCTTTTATTGCTCAATAAGTTTTAAAAGCCTTTGTTCATAATGGAATATCATATTATGACAATGATTTTTAAGACGATGCTGGTATAACTGAGGTTCCTATGATTTACACATCTTTAAAGAGGCGGTTTTCTTTTTGTTTATGTACATGACACAATGACAACGGTTGATATTTATTGAAACTGTTCCTTTAATGATATTTATAGAAAAATACTACCATAAACATGTATTTTCCAGGACTCTGTGGTAGAAGTTATTTGTGTTTTCTTGAAAATGGAAAAATTATATTTTCTCGTTTTTCAAAGGCAATAATCACCAATTGAGTCTTATTTTCCTGTTTTCTTCAATTTCCTGAAACAGAATTGAGAGAATGCAACAATTATTCAAGTTAGTGATTCATAAAACAACCGAGATTCAAACATTTTGAGGGGATACAATTGTGAATAAAAGTTTTCTGCAGAATGTTTAATCATAAATTTGACCACAGGGTTATACGTTTTTATTTTAGGGCACCAATACCTCGGTTTGCGGACTCTTATTCATTTCTGCGGACATATTGAGACTTCCTATTATGACAAGAAACATTTTGAGTACACTTCTCCTTCACATACAGCAGTTCTTTCAACGAATTCTTTCAGGCCGACCAATGATTCCCTTCTCACATCCCATATGTCCAAACCAGCTTAATATCAATTGATGTTCCTGCAGTGCCTCTGACCAGGTGAACCTCTGCTAAGGTTCGAGTCCCGACGGTGGCAAGAGTTTATACGCTGGCTAGATTGCTAGGTCGAATTCAGCTGGTATCGGGAGGAGAATACTGGAAGTCGACTGTTCAAACCGGTAGTTTTCCGTGTTTTCTCTGATCAACACCAAGCGAAAGCCGGCGTAGTACCCTAACAAATGGGGCCCGGACCGCGCGCGATCTTTCTTTCCTCTTCCTTGATCTATCCACACCCCTACTTACACACACACATTTCCATGCTCTATACTACCACACATGCCGGGAGACTGGTTGTGAACACAGCCGAATACCAAGAAATTAAAGACGTCACGTCTTCTACATAATAGTACCAACTGATGTTAACAATGGTTTCTAATAAAGATGCAAGATATACATTTCCTTTGTTGAATAAATTGCTGTACTAAACTTTAAATATTATTGCCATTATTAATTTTTATATAATGGCAAATTATTTTGCCACCAAGCATTATTATTAGACCCTCATATTTCGGTCGAAATATGGTTTGGTTACAGTTGGTTTCCATTCACTTGAATCATTCGTTAACTGAATGAATTCTGCTTTTCTTTCCATTTTATATTCTTCCATTTTCTCAGCCAAAATATGAAGTGATTTTTTGGTCCTCAATATACATCCGGCCCAAAAATCAGCCAACAAGCAAATATTTCAATGATTTGGTTGTAATTAAATTTTGTTATCTGCATTGGTCATCTCTTCATAATTTCTTATTTACAATAATTTCTTTGATGGGTATGTTCAAAATATGTCTAACCTGTAATCTTCGTCACTGACACTAGGGATCTAAAATAAACCTCGTAGTGCCAAATTTGGAGGTACATAAAAATAATATAAACGAAAAGATTGCTGAAAATTTCCAGGTAGATATTACCAGATCACATTCAAAAAACATTACTCGCATAATTTACATATGTTATATATATGCTACCTCTATTTTCAGTTGTTTTTAGAAATAGTACTTCAAAATTCCAAAAATAGATATTGCTTACCCTTAGTATTGAAGAATTCTTTTCACTCAAGGCCAAGACATTGGTGTAGAATTTTTGGCATTCTGTAAATAAAATTGTAAACAAATGAATTAGTGCATTATATCAACAAAAAAACATTAAAAAAATTTGTAAATAGCGTAAATACGAGTGGTAACATTTGCTATGGTCGAGAATTGAGCGACAGAGACAGTATTTGACGCGTTTAACACCGCATCCCCGTAGGGCGGGAACTCAATTTAAAGATTGGTCCACTCGAAGCTTTCGATAGAACAAAACAAAGAAGTAAAATTCCACCACCACAAAAAATTGGAACAATGAAAATTGAAACCATTGTAATTTTTTTATCTAGTTTGTTCCGGATTATTTATCCATAATTTTGTTTTATAAAAATATCCAAGAGCCATTTTCCAATTTTTAATAATGGCAATAGATCTAGTACACCTGTTGTGTTCCAAGAAATAAATATCTCGTTGAGCTATAGGCGTAAGATTACGAAATCTGGTGACATCCTGTATTGAACAGTTTACTTCTGGTTGCAAGGTCATCCAAAAGGTAGGCCAAAATTTGGTTATTTTTTCCTTTGTAATTTATTTCGCCAATTTGCAACTTTTGTAGTTTTAAATTCGCATGTCTTTGCTCCTTTCTATTAATATAACAAATCTTTAGATAACGTATGTATCTGTTTCACTCATATGTAATCCAATTAGCGTTTTACATTAAATAAATGTTTAAAATCTTGTTGCAAGTTGTAGGTACTACATTATTTTCATTAGTCGTTTTTTGCTTAAATAATACTTTGTGCACAGTAGTGTTAAGAAATGGCTGCAGACCCTCCCGTAAAACTTTTCCTCCTTTATCCGGCCTCCTTTATAAATGAGTATAGCAAACGCAAGTAGTGTTACTACCTGAAATACTAAAAACATATTTTAACAAATTCATATTCATCAGTCTCTGATTACTACACAGACAATCGCAATTCTTAGACTCGTAAAATCTTCAGCCTACAAATAGGCCCATTCTTTTACTTGGGCATTGCGGGTCCGAACGTTACCCCACTGTTTGTTTATATATTGCGCATTGTTCTATATCACAATAATGGCTTTCAAAGGTCGATGGATAGCAAGCTGACGAAATAAGATTGAAAAAAGAGATAACGACGTTCATTCTATTATTGTATGGCATTACACTGCACCTTTTCTAACTCTGTCTCTGGCAGGTATCCGTTTTTGACTGTTTCATCCTATCGGGATTGGATGAAACCGCCAATAGCTGATACCTGCCAGGGACAGATTTGGAAAAATCGCAGCATAGTTTCTTGTGTAGCCTCGCAAAACTTTTGCTGTCTTACGTACTAACGCAATAATGGAAATATTGTGATGTTGTGCTGAAATTTGGCGATTATTCGCAAGAAAACCTTTTTTTGTTATACCGAAAAATTGGTTAAATGTTTCTCCTATATGTGCGTTACTTCATAGTGCGAATCTAAACACATAGACGTCTCTTCAACATTATCTTCAGGATAACAATTGAAGTTTTCTTCAAAATATTCAGCTCCAACATCGTCTTCTAAAAGACGTTATATTATATTCCCTGCACCATCTACTGATCAAAACATTTACTCGTATTGAAAACAATACAATTAGGGAAACATCTCACAACGCAACGGTTCCAAATCTATCTGCGAGTTGCACGCGACGTCTTTAAGCGAGTGGTATGCAGTGTTACCAGAGTGGTATGCAGTGTGTTTAGAGCGATTCCGCCATGTTCGTTTCAGTTTCCGCTGAACTGGTTGTAAATTTACCGCCTAAACCCGCTAAACGTAAAATAAGTTCTTTTTTCATATTTAAATGTAGTATTAATTTATTCTATTAAAACAAACGATAGAAAATTATGATAGAAAAGGAAAATTCTTTTGAATGCATGAAATAGATAAGGGCAATTGCTTATTCTTGGTCATAGCCGTCGTTATTGGCGTATTCGAGTACCAATATTTGAAAATAATAATAATAATAATAATAATAATAATAATAATAATAATATTAATAATAATAATAAAGAACGCATTTATGTAGACTGAATTTTCTGTCTTTTATTATTATTATTTTAAAATGTTTCTGCTCGAACACGCTATATTTGTCCAGGCCTTAAAAGTGAAGATTTGAAATTCCGCTTATTTTCCGCCGTTTATTCCACTGTCCGCGAAACTATTTTTTTCCGCCGCACGAGTTCAAAATCTGCTGAAAACGGCGGGAATTCCGCCGACATGGCAACACTGGTGGTATGCGACAATCATACTCTGGCACGACGCCGCAGGAAAGAGGAGCTACGTGTTCTATCGCCCTCCAGCTTATCTGGTGATGACCTTGCAACCGGATGCAAAAACGATCAATAAAGTATGTCACCAGATCTCTGTACCTACAACTAAGCGAGGTATTAAGTTCTGAAAACGGAATGGGTCTTCTAGATCTATAGCCACTACTAAAAAGTAGAAATTTCCTAAGTTTATTTTTTGCACAAAGAAAATTTCTGGCTAAATAATCCCGAACGAACGAGGTACAAACGATTTATAGGATGGTTCCGATTTTGGGCAGCGGTGGGGATGATTAGCGTGAAGTTGGCACCACTACTTTAAAATGGCTGCATTATTGTGATTGTTATTATTTTAACACAAAATTCTGGTGAAACAATCAGCAACCAACGATTTAAGATGGTTCCATTTTTTATAATCTTCCTTCCTCATACGTCACATACAGTTTTTACTGTTTTTTGACTAAATAAATAAAATCTAATCTAATTTTTACGCTGGTTGTGGTGCCAGTGTGAAGTAGGCCCCACCAAAATTGACAGTGCTTTTGTTTGCATGTAGTTATGGTACAAACGAATAATATGGAGGAACAAATAGTAGGTACATACGAATGATAATGCTATTAGTGGTTTTTGCTGTGGAAACGGTGCAAAGTTCGTGGACATCTTTAAGAATATTACAGAAGTGTAAAACCTAGTATATAAGATAATTCGCACCAAATAATATAGATTTTCGCCTCAAAAATCTCATTCGAATGTTTCTGAAAATGCGCAATTTTCAGCTCATTTTTTTTCTGAAAAATTAGAGTTTTTGAGAAATTTTATATGCAATAATTTATAGCACTCGTTCTCATAAACACAATCAAGTATAAAAAAGCCCATTACGTAATATTTTTAATGTTACATTAGTTAATATAATTTTCTGAAAATCAAAAGAATGCATCAAATTTGTGTTGATGTCATGTTATTCGGTGCATTTAGTACTATCCTACAAAAAGTTTAAACAAAAGATTGTTGTTTTTGGTAAAGGCTTGTTGCCATTATTTCACGAAAAATTATGCGAAAACTACTCATATATTAAAAAACACTGTGCTTGGTCTCATTTACAAATCTTATTATGAAGTACAGGTTCCATTCGGGAGAAAAATCTATCTTCAATAATATAATTGGAGGAAGACGTCGAAAAAATACCACTTTTTTCAAATTCTATAAGCTCATATTCATCTATAAAAAATCCACATATTTGAACCAATTTCTGAGAAAAAATTTGAAAATACCCATAAAGCTTCGAATAAAGTACCCCCAAAATTAAAATAATTTTTAGTAATAGCCTTCAGTTCAATCAGTTCTTAATATAAAACACAAACATATAGCGTCAGTGAATTTAGCAAATTCTACGAATTCGTGAATTCTCTGTTAAATTTAAATTAAATCTAAATAAGTAAATTATTTCATAATTCAATTGAATTTTAGTTTTTTTTAAATAACTGCTCACCCCCCCCCCCTCCCCGCTTATCAACTATTTTTTGGAAGCAGACCTAGCAATCCTATTTGTGTTCTAAATTGAAATGTATTGAAGTTATTAAAACAATTATATAAGTTGTACCGTTCTTATTGTGCTTGACAAGGGTTGCCAGATCCGTACTGTTAAAATCCGCTATCGACGGGATAATTCCGCCAAATGACTGAATGTGAAATTGGAGAAGGGCGATAAAAGCGAGCACTGACACTGGTGCTGGTAATATCAAAATAGCTGCACTTTCACAAGATGTTTAAAACTAAATACCCTTATCCATAAAACCTATCTTATCTTAATCTATCAATACTTATACAATTTTTGGAAAAGGGTGGACACGATTAACATGTTTAAATAAAGATAAAAAAAGCGCGCTGATATATTTTCATAATATCTGCACATTTGCAAGACTTTCAGAACCAAAACTCCTGTGCTCAGGGCACATTTTTGAGAATAAATCAATATTTGAACAGTTCTCAGGACAAGGTGGGAAATAATGATGATTTAAATGAGAAAAAAAAAAGCATCGCATTGTCCAAAATCCTCTCGGAAAACAACAAATTCTGCCCATTGGGCATAAAAAGCATTTCTTCCCGCACGTCGACGCCTTTTTTCGGCCCAATGTGGCAGCCCTGTGCTCGACAATTGAGCCTCGGCAGAGGCAGAGACAGCGTTGCCGCGCTTCACCGCCACGAGTACACCACAGGATCTTTCAGAGGCAATCGAAAGGCGAAGATTAGATTTCAGGCCTGTACTTAAGATTTTTTAATTAATTCCTCCTGTTCGGCATTGCTGCCTTTCAGGGGTGTTACCATTTTACAAAATAATGCTTTGACATTCGTTCTCACGCTAATTGTCCTGAATATTACAGGCTGTGGTCAATGTATAATTTTGAAAATTGATTTGATGTGAATTAATTTTTATAATTCATTGAATAAAATATTTATATGTTATTATTTTATATTAATAGCTGTTGGGAATTAATGACGTTGAGTATTTATGGAGGTCTGAGTTTATCCTTGGGAAATCGTGAGCATATTCCATTTTTTCAATCCGATACCTTCCCCTTCCCCTTCATTTATTTGATCCCAATTGGTGGCAACAAGGATGGGTTAAGTCTCTGGAAACGCTGGTGCTATTGTATGATACTAGAAAAACTAGGGTTGCCAGGTTAGGGGATTTCCTCCTAAATTTAGTTTTCTTATTTTAAGTGGATGCGTCAGGGAGCAAATTTATTTTGAT